TCTTGAAAAAGAAGGACAAAGTAGGTGGGATCACAATACCAGATATCAGGTTATACTACAAAGCGACTGTAATTAAAACAGCCTGGTACTGGCCCAAGAACAGGCATATAGACCAGTGGAACAGAATAGAGAACCCTGAAATGGACCCAAGGCAATACGCTCAATTAATATTTGACAAAGGTGGCAAGAGCATACAGTGGAGTAAAGACAGCCTCTTTAATAAATGGTGTTGGGAAAATTGGACAGCTACATGCAAAAAAATGAAACTAGACCATCAACTTACACCCTACACAAAAATAAACTCAAAATGGATAAAAGACTTAAAAGTAACCCGTGAATCCATGAAAAGTCTAGAAGAAAATGTAGGCAACAAAATTTCAGACATCATACGCAGCAGAATTTTCACTGATACATCACCTAAGGCATCAGAAACTAAGGAGAAAATGAACACATGGGACTACCTCAAACTAAAAAGCTTCTGCACAGCAAAAGAAACAACCATCAAAATGGAAAGGCAACCCACTGTATGGGAGAATATCATTGCCAATGATATATCAAATAAGGGGTTAATTTCCAAAATATATAGAGTACTCATACAACTCAACAAAAGGAAGACAAAGAACCCAATTAAAAATGGGCAGAGGAACTAAATAGATAACTCTCCAAACAGGATATACAAATAGCTAAAGACATATGAAGAAATGCTCAACATCACTAATCATCAGAGAGATGCAAATTAAAACAACAATGAGGTATCACCTCACACCTGTCAGAATGGCCGCCATCAACGAATCATCAAACAACAAATGTTGGCGAGGGTGAGGAGAAAAGGGGACTCTAGTACACTGCTGGTGGGAATGCAGACTGATGCAGCCACTATGGAGAACACTATGGAGTTACCTCAAAAAACTAAAAATTAACCCAGTGATCCCCATTCTAGGAATATACCCTAAGAAGCCTGACACACCAATCAGAAAGAATATATGTACCCCCATGTTTGTAGCAGCACTATTTACAGTAGCTAAGATCTGGAAACAGCCCAAATGTCCATCAGTAGACGAATGGATAAAAAAGCAGTGGTACATATACACAATGGAGTACTATGCAGCTGTAAGAAAGAAAGATCTCTTATCCTTTGAGACAACATGAGGGGACCTGGAAAATATTATCCTAAGTGAAACAAACCAAGCAGAAAAAGTCAAATACCACATGATCTCACTTATTTGTGGAATATAATGAACATAATAGTCTGAGGAATAGGGTAAACCCAGAAACATGAAGTAGGGTACAGACTGACAACCCTCAGGCGAGGGGGTGGTGGAGGGAGGGAAGAGATAAACCACAACTTATATTCATGTACACATAACCAATGGGCATGGACAACAAAGTCGGGGATGGGGTGGGGGGAATGGGAGGAGGGTGTCAATGGGTAAAAAAGGAGAAACATCTGTAACAAAAATAAAATTAAAAAAAAAAAAAAGAAAAAGAAAGCCAGACTTCACACTGGTGGCAAGTACCACAAACAAAACATAGCAGTTGAAGCTTTATATTTGGTGGCACTCAGAATCACCAGAGCTATGAAACCTCACACCATTGCTGAGGATTTACTGTTCCCAGTGGCCAAAGTCATTGTTCGAGTTATGATAGGAGACGAATTTGTTACGAAATTAAATGCAATTTTTTTATCTAATGACACTGTCCGCAGAAGAATAGATGACATGTCTGCTGATATTCTTGATCAGGTAATCCAGGAGATTAAATCTCCACTTCCAATATTTAGCATCCAGTTTGATGAATCTACAGACGTATCAAACTGTTCAAAGTAACTAGTTTACGTGAGGTATATTAATGATGGCGACTTTAAAAATGAGTTTCTTTTTTGCAAACCTCTTGAAACGACAAGTACTGCACGTGATGTATTTGACACAGTTGGTTCATTTCTGGAAGAGCAGAAGATCTCTTGGGAAAGGTCTGTGGTGTTTGCACAGGTGGTGCTTCAGCTATGCTAGGACGTTGATCTGGATTTCAACGTTTGGTACTGAATGAGTCACCAAAAGTTGTTGGAACTCACTGTATGATTCATCGGCAAATATTAGCAATAAAGACGCTGCCACAAGAGTTACAAGAAGTAATGAAAAGCATCATAAGTTCTGTCAATTTTGTAAAGGCGAGCACTATAAACAATCTACTGTTTCTGCAACTGTGCAACAAGTTGGATGCGCTGAACAGTGCTCCGCTATTTCACACTGAAGAGAGATGGTTGTTGACAGGAAAAGTTTTAAAACATGTTTTTGAGCTTCATGATGAACTGAAAACATTTTTTAATCAGAAAGCAAGACCACAGTTTGAAACACTTTTCAGTGATAAAAGTGAACTGCAGAAAATAGCTTATTTGGTTGACATCTTTGCCATCTTGAATGAGTTAAATTTATCACTGCAAGGACCAAATGCCACATTCCTCAATTTGTCTGAAAAGACCCGATTATTCCAAATGAAACTTCAGCTTTGAAAAAAAAAAAATGGATGAAAATAAAATGTACATGTTGCCTACCTTATCTGCTTTCTTTGAGGAACATGACATTGAACCAGACAAAAGGATTACGATGATGATTTCTGTGAAAGAACACTTGCACATGCTTACAAACGAAATTTCATCGTACTTTCCAAATCTACCTGACACCCCATTTGCACTTGCCAGAAGCCCATTCACAGTCAAAGTGGAAGATGTTCCTGAGATAGCACAGGAGGAGTTCATTGAACTTATTAACAGCAATGCAGCGAGAACTGATTTCTCTACAATGCCAGTTACAAAATTCTGGATCAAGTGTTTGCAGTCATATCCTGTTCTGTCTGAGACTGTGTTACACCTTCTTCTTTCATTTCCAACAACATATCTTCGTGAAACAGGGTTTTCCAGTTTGTTGGTTATCAAATCTAAATACAGAAGTGGACTTGTTGTGGAAGATGATCTTCACTGTGCTCTTGCAAAGACTGCCCTGAGAATTTCTGATCTGGTGAGAAAGAAGCAATCTCAACCTTCGAACTGATGTTGGCTTTTTACGCATACTGTTGCAAAATGTAGCAACGTAGTTTACTGTTGTTATATTAAGACTGTTACCCGTGCTACACTATGCTTCAAGACAAAATTTCATTTATTTGTAATTAGAAATAAATATTTCACAATATATAATTACATGTTGTTTTTGTGATTAATCACTATGCTTTAATTCTGTTCAATTTGTAACAATGAAAATACATCCTGCATATCAGATATTTACATTACGATTCACAACAATAGCAAAATTATAGTTACAAAGTAGCAACGAAAATAATTTTATGGTTGGGGGTCACCACAACATGAGTAACTGTATTAAAGGGTCACAGCATTAGAAAGGTTGAGAACCACTGATTTAAAGGGACAATTTATGTATCATAGTTAAGGTCTCAGATTATCCCACAGAAACCCCTTTAACTTATGTCTCTGAAATATGCCCTTCTTCCCTGCAGACCTAGCCCATTCTCCATCCTTGTACTCTTTTATACTTCTCTGTGTACACCTGTTAGCCTATCACCTCTCTCACTAGTCCCCTATTTCCTAACAAGGTTTCCTCTCTTTTGCTCTATGCTTCTATGCCTATGTGAGTCTCGGAAGGGCAACAAAGATGTCAATAAGTGGCTGTATAAAGAAGGTTTTACTCTTATTTTTTCCATTACTCTAATGGCAGCTCATAGATCAGGAGGAAAAAACCTTGAGTTTCTAAGTATTTTCTATAGCATATATTTCCCTGCCTGCCTGTGACAACTTCCTACAGTCTTAACGTTGATCTGTAGAATAGACATAAAATTTACCAAAACGGTAATCTTTCAGTGGTTACTGAAATATTCATACATTTTTGTCATTTGGCTATTGAACATTTAGGAAAGACTTAAAGAGTTGGTTGAGATTTGAAAATTTGCTGACAGGAGGAGCATAAAATATCTGTTCCTCCATGTACTTCATAATATAAATTGTAGTAGGTTTATAATATTGTAACATACATTCTGCATTATTTACATTGCCTGGCATGGTGCTGAATGACTTATTTATATAGAACACACACATATACACATTTCAATAACCTTTTTTTTTTTATTTGGAGTGGTTCTAAGAATGCTGAGTACCATGACAAGCCAACTCTTCTCCTTAAGACTCACTCCATTTACTGCCTTTTAAACCTGAGCCTTTTGAAAGGCTCCATTTATGGTAGTGTGGTGGAAAGAGTCAATTGGATGATGGATCAGAGCATCTTCCCCCTGTATAATACAACCTAATAGTCATGTATCATCAGGAAAGACACACATTCTCCCAGACCTCAAGTCTGCATATTGGCGATTCTCATTATATGCATCCTGAGATCTCATCAAACTCACAAGTTATAATGCTATAAAGATTAATACATAATAAAAGTAACCCTATCTGAAAAATAAGCAGAGAATTGGGATAACAGGTCTGGCCTACTTTTCAGTAGTTCTTAGTTTAGTCATCTGCCAGCATCAGGAAGATTATATTGTACTTTTTTTTTTGGACTACTTTGCCTCCCCATCTTTTCCTCTTATTATGTGGTTTGATGTGTCTATATCAGGTATTACAGGTAAAAATAATTTATAAATGTCTTCCAGGCCATTTGCTGGAAGATCTCTAGCAAAGAATAAATCAAAGGCCTGGCTTATCCCATGAGGGGCTGCCACATAGTTTTCTTATTTTATACACACACACACACACACACACACACACACACACACACACACTGTACTACCTTATAATGGAATATTTTGCTCCTAATTTTCATTTGAAATTTGTTTTTCAGAGATTTAGCAATTTTAGGATAGTCATAACTCAAGTTGATTTGAATAAATTTAGTTTAAATTAAATTTTGTTCTTTCTGAAATTCAAATAGTGAAATTCCAAATGCTGATATACACTTTTCTACTACTAATGGATATCTGGTGGGCTTTTTTAGGAGACATTCCCTTACATCTTAATATAAGAGAAGCTTCGGATATAGGCCAGCCGATTGTATTTTCACAGCCTGAAAGTGATGAGGTAAGTGATATTTTTAAATATGTATTTTAATTTCTTTTTTACAGGATATATACTTTTTGATGTATAGAAATAAGTTTGGGAAGATCAAGTGTATCTATTTGCAGTACATACATTAAACAAAGATTGGTTGACTTATCCAAAGCATTTCAAGTTACTATTTTATGTGGTAGGCGTGCCAGTGCTGGCTCTGAATTATCATGTGAACAAGTTCACCTACAAGGAATCATCACCTATCCGGTTTTCTCATGAAGAACACCAACAAGAGAGTTTGCAGAGTTCTTATCGTGCTAGCTTCAGGATCTAACTGCCCAAGGTTATTATATTTCAGTTGTCTGAAGTTCAGCTGATTGTTAGGAGAAGGAAACCTAATGTAAAAATACACTGAGTTGGATATAGGAAAACTGTATAAACTATTAGAGATGCAATTTTTATTGCATTTATTTTAATAAATACGATTAGGGAGGCGAGGTGGAAAAACTATTTAGTGTTTCATTAGGGATACAGTTGATACATTTTCAAGTTACTACAGCTTTATGAATTTAAACCTAAAAATGTTTTTATTTTACTCTTTTAACATAGAAAGAAAATCAATCATAAATACCTCTTTTTCCTAAGTGACACTTGCTATTCAAGTTAGAAACTGAGCCATCATCTGGTACGTCAGTTTTGATCTAGTTTTTGTGCTCATTTGCTGAACAGTTCCAGTCTTCTAATAGCTTCTCCCTTGTCTTCTTTTAGCTAATGAGTATAACTTTATAGTACTGTTATTTTGTTTTTGTTCTTTTTTAAAATTATAGTCGACATACAATATTATATTAGTTTCAAGTGTACAGCATAATGATTCAACATTTATATACCATGTGAAGTGATCACCACATCAGTTCCAGTAACTTTCAGTCACCATGCAGTTATTACAATATTATTGACTATGTTCCCTACACTATATATACACTACATCCTGTGATTCATTTATTTTATAATTGGAAATTTGTACTTCTTTTTTTATGAATTTTTATTTATTTTTTTTGTTACAGATATTTTACCTTTTTACCCCATTGGCACCCCCCACCCCACCCACCTCCGCCCCGTCCCTGGCTTAGTTGTCCACGTCCATTGGTCATGCATACATGCATATAAGTTCTGTGGTTTATCTCTTCCCATCCCCCCACCCCCTCTTCTGAGGGATGTCAGTCTGTGCCCTACTTCCATGTTTCTGGGTCTACTGTATTCCTCAGACTGTTATGTTCATTATATTCCGTATATAAGTGAGATCATGTTGTATTTGTCTTTTTCTGCTTGGCTTCTTTCACTTAGGATGATACTTTCCAGGTCCCTCCATGTCGTCTCAAAGGATAAGAGATCTTTCTTTCTTACAGCTGCATAGTACTCCATTGTGTATATGTACCACAGCTTTTTTATCCATTCATCTACTGGTGGACACTTGGGCTGTTTCTAGATCTTAGCTATTGTGAATAGTGCTGCTATGAACGTGGGGGTACATATATTCTTCCTGATTGGTGTTTCAGGCTTCTTAGGGTATATTCCCAGCAGTGGGATCACTGGGTCAAATGGAAGTTCAATTTTTAATTTTTTGAGGTAGCACCATATTGTTCTCCATAGCGACTGCACCAGTCTGCATTCCCACCAGCAGTGTACTAGAGTCCCCTTTTCTTCACACCCTCGCCAACACTTGTTGTTTGATGATTTGTTGATGGCGGCCATTCTGACAGGTGTGAGGTGATACCTCATTGTTGTTTTAATTTGCATCTCTCTGATGATTAGTGATGTTGAGCATTTCTTCATATGTCTTTTGGCCATTTGTATGTCCTGTTTGGAGAAGTGTCTATTCAGCTCCTCTGCCCATTTTTTAATTGGGTTCTTTGTCTTCCTTTTGTTGAGTTGTATGAGCACTCTATATATATTGGAAATTAACCCCTTATCTGATATATCATTGGCAATGATGTTTCCCATACAGTGGGCTGCCTTTCCATTTTGATTATTGTTTCTTTTGCTGTGCAGAAGCTTTTTAGTTTGATGTAGTCCCATGTGTTCATTTTCTCCTTTATTTCTGTTGCCTTAGGTGATGTATCAGTGAAAATTCTGCTCCGTATGATGTCCAAAATTTTGTTGCCTACGTTTTCTTCTAGAATTTTTATGGATTCATGGGTCACATTTAAGTCTTTTATCCATTTTGAGTTTATTTTTGTGTATGGTGTAAGTTGATGGTCTAGTTTCATTTTTTTGCATGTAGCTGTCCAATTTTCCCAACACCATTTATTAAAGAGGCTGTCTTTACTCCACTGTATGCTCTTGCCACCTTTGTCAAATATTAATTGAGCGTATTGCCTTGGGTCCAGGAAATTTGTACTTCTTAATCCCCTTCACCTTTTGTTTATCTCCCCAGTCCTCTTCCCTCTGACATTTTTCAGTTTGTTCTCTGCATCTATGAATCTGCTTCTGTTCTGTTTTGCTCGCTTGTTTGTTTTGACCTTCAGATTCCACATGTAGGTGAAATCACGGTGTTTGTCTTTCTCTGTCTGACTTATTTCACTTAGCTAATACCTCTAGGTCCATTCAAAATTTTATAAATGGTGAGATTTCATTTTTATAGCTGAAAATAATATTTGATTGTGTGTGTGTGTGTGTGTGTGTATCACATCTTTTTTATCCATTCGTCAGTGGATACCTACATTACTTCCATATCTTGGCTATTACAAATAGTGCTGCAGTGAACATAAGGGTACATATATCATTTCAAATTAGTGTTTTCAATTTCTTCAGGTAAATGCCCTGAAGTAGAATTTCTGGTTTCTAATGGTAGTTCTATTTTTAATTTTTTGAGGAATCTTCATTCTGTTTTTCATAGTGGCTTCACCAATTTACAATCCCACGAATAGTGTATGAGGGTTCCCTTTTCTCCACATCCTTGCCAACACTTATTATTTGTTGTCTTTTTATAATAGCCATTCTGACAGGAGGTGTGCAGTGATATTTCAGTGTGGCTTAGATTGTAGTTCCCTAATGTTAGTGATGTTGAACAACTTATATGTCTATTAGCCATCTCTTTGTCTTTGGAAAAATGTCTATTCAGGTCTTCTGCCTATTGTTAAATTGGATTGTTTTTGTTTTGTTATTTTGATGTTGAGTTGTATGAGTTTTTTATATATTTTGGATATTAACCCCTTATCAGATATATCATTTGTAAATATCTCTAATTCAGTAGATTTCCTTTTCATTTTGTGAAAAAGCTTTTTAGCTTGATGTAGTCCTACTTGTTTATATTTCCTTTCATTGTTCTTGCCTGAGGAGACATAATCAAAAAATACTGCTAAGGCCCATGTCGAAGAGCTTACTGCCTACGTTGTCTTCTAGGAGTTTTATAGTTTCAGGTCTTACATTTAAGTCTTTAATCCATTTTGAGTTTATTTTTGTATATGGTGTAAGAAAGTGGTCTAGTTTCATTTTTTTGTACATATCTTTCCAGTTTTCACATCACCATTTATTGAAATAACTACCTTTTCTCCACTGTATATTTTTGCTTCCTCTGTCATAGATTAATTGGCCATATAAGTATGGGTTTATTTTTGGTTTCTGTATTCTGTTTCATTGATCTGTGTGTCAGTTTTTGTGCCACTATTATACTATTTTGATTACTGTAGCTTTTAGTATAGTTTGAAATCAGGGAGTGTAATACCTCCAACTTTGTTCTTCTTTCTCAAGATTGCTTTGGCTACTCGGTGTCTTTTGTGGTTCTATATAAAGTACTGTTATTTTGTTCATCCATAACTACACCCCTTTCATTTTAGTTTGCTTCCTCTTCTTGTGTGAACTGGAATATAAAAGAGCCAAGCTTGGTTAGAGTTGTCAATAAAGTAAGAGTAAATGGGCAGCCAGGAGTCTAGGATAAGTGAAGTAGATTTATTTTGAGTTTTCCCTTTCAGAGGTCCAGAGCTCCGTTTCCTTTCTTAAGGGTCGGCAGTTATGGTACAGGTGATTGAGTTGCTGGGATTATGATCTCTGAGTAAATATAATGTAGCACTTTTCATTGTTTTTCTTATTCTCTTTTAGGTAATAAATGTTACATTTCATTTGCAGTCTTTACTCAGAAATCTTTCATATAAAACAAAAGCCATTCCCTTTATTTCTTTCATAATTAAAGTCTGACGATCCCAACTACCACAGGTGTACTTTACTTTAGGCAGTGGATGAAAAGTATGAAAATTGAGGTGTTTTTAAAAATTATACAGTTTTAAATGCCTCCTGAGAACAAACTATTTAAAGATATTCTATGGCAATTATGATGAATAAGATTAATTCCTTACTAGTGTATTTCAATTGAGTTTAGATTTTAAAATATTTTTCTACCTGTCCATTGTTGCTCTTTGTCTTTGAGATTTTCCAAGGGACATTTCAGGGAAGTTAAAGTAATATAATATAATAGAAACTATACAACAACCATCAAAAGATAATATGATTTAAAACTCTAAACAACAGTATTTATGGAGTTTTTGCAGTTACATATATATTTTTAATCCTTACCCGAGGATATATTTATTGATATTAGAAAGAGAAAGGAGGATAGAGAGAGAAACGGTGATTGGCTGCACCCAACAGTGGACCAAACACACAACCTGGGTTTGTGCCCTGACCAGGAATCAACTTGTGACCTTTCAGTGTACTGAACGATGCTCCAACCAACTGAATCTAATTTGCATAAACATTAGACCTAATATTATACTGTTGTTGGGTGACATTTATGGGAATGTGAACAGACTAACGTTTTGTAGTTAAAGCTAGATTTGATTTGGTGAGGTGTGCTATAATATTTTCCTGGTAAAGACTTTTCAATATAAGTGGAATCTTTGTCATCTTATAATTTCTTTTTTTTTTTAAGGAAGTCAGTCTTTTTTTTTTTTCCTTTATCCTCACCCGAGGACATTTTTCCATTTTTTTGTTCAGATAGAGTGGGAGGGAGAGAGAGAAACATCGACATGAAAGGGACACATCGAGTGGCTGCCACCCACATGACCCAACCAGGGCCAGGGACAAACTGTAACCAAGGTACATGCCCTTAGCAGAAACCAAACCCGGGTCTCTCCGGACCACAGGCCGACGCTCTAACCGCTGAGCCAAACCGGCCAGGGCATCATCTTATAATTTCTTAATTATTATTTCATAGTCTTAACATGAATTACTGCGTAAGATAAATTAGAACTCCAAATCTTCAAAAACAAAAGACAAAAAGATAAAGCTCTTTATAAAACTTCTTGCACTTTGTTTGCCATCCATGTCCTTTCACTTGTTAATGACAGAGCAGACAAGTAAGATAAGCCGTAGTGTCTCTGCCTCAAGGTAGCCCAATCAAAGACCTTGAATAGATGAGAAGGGTTAGTCTATGTAGATTTGAGTTGATGAAAAGGACAGTATTAGTAGTTCGAGAAATCTAAATCATATTTTTCAATGTGTGATGTCCACGTGTGTGCTTTTTTGCTAGTTATGGATTAAACAAAAGAAAGGATTTATTTTACTTATTCATCGATCATGAAGAGTGCCCAAAAGAACATATAACTCTGAACCCTTCAATAAAATTGTAAATTACTTGAGGATATAGTAATAACAACAGTGCTAATGTTTATTATTTGCTTCTTGTGTGCCAATACTTCACATATTTTATTCATACTTAATATTTCTCCAAATCCTTTGAGGTAGATACTGTTGTTATAACCATTTTACAGATGTGGAAACTGAGTCTAGAAGGGTTAATCACTTGCCCAAGGTCTCAGAGCTAGTTAGTGATAGAGCTAGGGTTTTAAACCCTAGCTGTCTGACTTAAACGCCCCAACTCTTCACTAGTGAGCCATACTATGTCCCTTCTATCTCATCACATCCCACAGATTTTCTAAAACAATGCCTCACACACACAGTAAAGCCAAAAAGTATTTGTTGAAGTAATACTGCACTGGCTGGAAAAATTCTATCTCAACAGTCTTGTAGAAATGGAAACTGTTAAACAACGTACCTCTAGTGGTATCTCAGCAAATGACAATCTAACCATTACTTTGAGTGTCATATGTTGAAAGTTTAAGGTTGGAGATAGTCCACTAAAAAGCAAAGGTTAAGCTGGGCCCATGTGGTTCCATGGATTGAACACTGTCCCATGGACTGAGAGGTCCCAGTGTGATTCCCAGTCAGGGCACATGCCCGGGTGTGGGCTCCATCCCAGGTAGGGGTGTGCAGGAGGCTTTCTCACATCGATGTTTCTCTCTCTCTCTCTCTAAAAAAGCAATAAAAACATTACAAACAAACAAAAAAAATGAAGGTTAAATGTAGCAAATTGATTATCCTGGAATCTTTCAATATTTTATGTCATCTGGTAGGTTTGTCTCTAATTTAACGTAAATATGAATAAAAGGTTAAGAATGATGACCCTGTCTCAGCTTGCCTTAGTGAACTTTACATTTTCATCAGAAAATATTAGGCTTAAATACCTAGAAAAGAGACTAGGAGGTTAAAAAGATATTCATAAAGATGCACAGCTGAAAATCAGCATATTAGATTTAGGAGAACTGTTTCTCTATAAAGTCCATGTTATTTACATTTTCAAACAAAAACTGTTTCTGTTATCTATAGCAGGGACTGAAACCATTTTCAGACAAAGCATTACAATTATAGTTACTTGTACCTTGACTTACTGTTTTATATGTGATGCAGGAGAAGGAGCTGGGCTTGGATCAGGTGGGCCCAGATTTCAGTGTTTCCCAGCCCACTGACTTTGTGACCCTGAGCACACAGACTTCCAGAGTCTTCATCCACGTTGAGCCTGTGGTGCTTACTTTACATACGTGGGATTACTTATGTGAAGTACTTGGTGTAGTAGGTGCTCAGTAAAAAAAATTAAGTCCTTATTCATGCTTTCAGAGCTATTCTTTTTTTTTTTTTAATGGACTCAAATGAAATATTAACACTTTCTGGTAAAATAAAGCATAATTCAGATGTTAGGGTTCAAGCATAATTTTGGTTTTTTTAAAATGAAGATGTGTGAGACACACTTACAGCTTCACATCAAGTCAGGGCAAACGGACCTCAGACGGGCTCGCACCGTGCGCCGGGGGGTGCGCCGGGGGGTGCGCCGGGGGGTGGGCCGCTCATCTCGTGCTGTAAAGCTTCTGGCAAGTCTTCACCTTTCTGGGGTTTGGTTTCCTCGTCTATAAATTGGGATCATAGAATTTACCCCTTAGGGTGGCTGTAAGGATAAATGAAATAATGCTAGGCAAGTATTACATACTTAGGTGTTAGCTATTATTAATAGTAGTAGTAGTAGCAGCATATACTCAAATTAAGTATATAAATGTATAAATTGATAGTTTTAGAAAGTCTTACTCTTGTGGCTTTCAGTTACTTTTATAGATAAAATAGAAGAAATGAGTAGGATTTACATTGTAATTGTTTAAAACTCTTAAACTACAAATGCCATGAGGTGGTTCTAACTGGGCTGTGGGCACCGGGTCAGTTGGTGCCCACTTGGCGGCCGAGGCGCTGCTCTTGCTGTCGCTGCACTGGGAGTGCCAGAGGTGAAGAGGTGACAGTGACCCACGGTCCCCAAACTCTCCAGGTGGAGGAGCCTCCAGGTGCTCGGTGCTGGGATCGGATGCCATTCTCAGAGAGAATAAAGAAAATACTTTCCCAAGACAAACTGTAAGGTAGTAAATAATAGTCCTCTTTAAAATGACTTAACAGTGGCTTATGCCAAAGAATTGTTGGCAGTATCTAGCTCAGAATATTAGTTTGTTCGAAGAGGAAGGCAGACTTTTTCTGCAGCTAGACTAGGTTTGCTAGTTTGCTGACATGGGAATTAGAGTTTGAAAAACAGTAATTGCTGGTACTAAATATTTTTTTCAGAAATTCACCTTCTAAATACTTACCTCCAAACAATCTAAGATTCTTTTTCCCTGCCCCACCTGCAATGTACACAGGGTATCTCCTCACTCCCAAATTTCTTCAACTCGTCCTTTTACTATTGCATTCGGCGGCCAGCAGTGCAGACAGCTCCCGAGTGCTCTGTGTGCACTGGGGGGGAGTATCGAACGCGCTTCTCTGTTCTTCCCCAGGCCAGAGCTTACCTGAGGGTTGCTGCGGAAGTGGTACGACGACTGCCACCACCTGCGCAGTGACTCCCAAGTGTCCTGGAAGTTTACCTGCTGCGTGACAATAAGACGACCTTTGGAAATCAGCAGTGTGGTGATAAAACCTACAGAAATCATAGCAACCGTAGTTGTGTTCTTGTATTTCTAAGGAAATGATATCTTATTTTCAGGTTTGATTTGCTAAGCAATGACTCAGAAACAAAGTTTTGACACATCAATGCTAACTGCTACACTCAGGAATTTGTCTGGAAGCTGAGTGTACCAACTGCACAGAACTGCTTTTTATTTTATTGATCTACCCTAGAAGAATCATGAGTTTACGTTACAAGCCCGCCCTCCAGTTCAGGAGAAAACTGTGCTCTTTTCTGCAGGACTCCAGAGCTCGTCATTTAAAGGATTTACTAACCTGGTGTAAGGACACACGGGTGACACCCCTTCATCAGGCAGTTTGGTCTGGGTTTGAATCCTGTCTCTAGTACTATATTGAACACATTCTCAATATAGATTAAACCTTGACTTCTTCACATGGACCACACTCTACCCAAGGCTTAATGAATCTAAATCTCGGAGATAGGGCCTGGACATGCGCATTTTTAACAAGATCCTAATTATTTTGATTAATCTTATTATGGCAATAGGAGCTAATATTTATCAAGTGTTTTCTTGTGTCTTTTTAGTTAATCTTTCTTTCGTATTATGGTGTACTGTTGCTATCTCCATTTTACAAATGAGAATACTGAGGTATGGGAAAGTTAAGTGTCTTACTGAGGATTACTATTTTAGGAGGGGATGGAGCTGAGATTTAAACTTGGGTACTTGGGCACTGGATCCCTCCTTTTGTACAACAAGGGGCATTTGTTTATTTCAAAAGAGACATATAGTATTCAAACTCACTTGACCATGACACTCTCTGTCCCCACTCCAACTTTTTATTAGGAGTTCATTTTTATCAAGTTCATTTTTCTAAGAGTATACTTTGAAAAACATGTGTCTTGTCTAGTTGAGGCTCAGAGAGAGTCGGGGTCTTCCCAGGTTTAGGTAGCAAGATAGTTGTAAACCTGCAAGTACTGATAAGAGTCATTAGTTAATCCTCAGTTATAAGGAAGTGGTCTCTGACCTTTGGCAAATGCCTTGACATCCTTTGCTTTGTAGTTAGGCAGCCAGAAAATTAGACAAAGAGTTACATGTCATTCTAAACATGTTTTCACACACTTATGTTCACATAAAAGACTGTAGATGGTTGTTTATAGCATCTTTATTTGTAATAGCCAAACCAACACAGAGCTTTTCAGTGGGTGAATGGTTAAACAAACTGTGGTATATCCATTCCATGGAATGCTACTCAACAATAAAAAATAACAAACTATGGATACATGCTACAACTTGGATAAATTCCAGAGAATTATACTGCATGAAAAAGCTAATCCCAAAGGTTATGTATCATATGATTCCATTTGTATAATATTCTTGAAATGACAAAATTATAGAAATGGAGAACAAATTAGTGGTTTCCAGGGGATAAGGAAGAGGCTGGAGCAGGGATTGTGTATGTCTATAAAAGGGCAACACTAGGGATCCTTATGTTGAGGGAAATGTTCTGTATGACTGTATAGATGTCATTATCTTGGTTGTGATATTGTTCTATAGTTTTGCAAGATGTTACCATTGGAAAAAATTGAGTAAAGGGCACAATGGACTCTCTCTGTATTGCTTTTCATAACTGCATGTGAATCTGCAATTCAAAATAAAATAAAAGTTTAATTAAAAACAAAACAAAACATGTGCTGCAGTGTCTGAACTGAATGTCCTGGAACAAATCACAAATAGAAGTATTTGTGGACAGACAGTAATCATCATTCACTGTCCTGAGAAGGAAGTAATCACTGTAAGTTGTAGATATTTATTTGTGCTGTTACTGTTTTTGTTGGGGAGACCAATACAGAGCACTTCTTAAAAAAAAAAAAAAAAAAGCAAGTATTTGAACCAAGCTTAACTTTACCTAAAAAAGGAATAATTTAAATAAGCTTCAGAGGATCTTAAAGTTGTGAGTCACAATTTAATAATCCGATGGAGACTGGGAAAGATAGTCTTTACTCATAAATCAGGACCTAGAGAAGATGCACCTACGTGATCACCTGTCCCCCTCCTCCCTCACCTATTCCGGGAGAACCACTGAAGAACTGGTGGTTGCCTGAGTTCAGAAGTGAAGGAAGGACAAGTCGCTGCAAGAGCAAGAACGAAGCTTATTCTAAAGTTTAGCCCATGGCAGCCTTTGCTAAGCTTCAGAGAGCTGACTTCAAAGATAGACTGTTGAGCAAAGCTAATCTGCCTGTTGTTAGGGGTAGTATTTATTTCTCATTCTTCACATTTCCACCGAGTGGAGAGAATTTCCACTTCACTATCCAGGAGGGGAAGGCCAGCGCCCCGCTCACTCCATCCAGGAGAAGTGACGCATCATGTGGGTGAGCTTCCCGAGCTGCAGGGAAACCTTGTATTTTTAATATGATTCTTATCAGTTCTGTGTGTTGCAGATATCTTTCCCACCCCATGACTTGCCTTCCACTGTCTTAACAAAGGATCTTAATTTATTGTAGTCAAATTTATCACTGTTTTTTTTTTTTAATCCTCACCCGAGGACATTTTCCCATTTTTTTTGTTCAGGTAGAGTGGGAGGGAGAGAGAGGAACAGAGAGAGAGAGAGAAACATCGATGTGAAAGGAACACATCAAGTGGTTGCCACCCGCACGACCAACCAGGGTCGGGGACAAACCGCAACCGAGGTACATGCCCTCAGCGGGAACCGAACCCGGGTCTCTCCGGACCGCAGGCCAACGCTCTAACCGCTGAGCCAAACTGGCCAGGGCTTATCACTGTTTTTATGATTGACTTTTGTGCAGTGTTTCAAAACATGAAGATATTGTCCTATATTAACTTCTAGAAGTTATAGAGTTGTTTTGCCTTTTACACGGTTCTACAATCTACTGGAATTGTTTTTTGTTATTAGGTGAGGTAGGCTTTAACTTATTTTTTTTGTTCTTGTGGCTACCTAATTGTCCCAGTATCACTGGAGCTGTTTTTTCCTCCACAATTCTGTGTTTCCACCTTTGTTATAAATTAAATGTCTGTGTTCCTATGGGTCTGTTTCAGAGGTTTCTATTCTGTTCCATTGGTTTACTTGTCTTTGCAACAATAACTCACTGCTTTGTTTATCATTACCTTGTTGTTCTTCAAAAATGTTTTGGAAATTCTTGATTTTTTTTCTTTCATTTCTATATAAATTTGAAGGTTAGCATGTGAAATTCAAAGATAAAAACAACAAACTATTGAAGAGTTTCCACTTTTCTTAGGATGGAGAAGACTGGAAAGAGTATCATACCCACCCTTACAACAAGAAAACACTGTATGATCTACAAAATTAGAACTTTTCTTAAACTGATCAGAGAACCTAAGTTACAGTGTAGCCAAGTAGCCAGAAATGTCAGGAAAGATAGACCCCCTCCAAGGACAGACACGATGCAAGCATTTCCTCACCTTTGGCAGAACACAGAAGAAATTTATGTCAGGCTCCCTATAAACAGGTAAGAAAATTTTAGTGCAGATTTTAAACAAATTGCTAAAAGCTGAGTGTGAGACAACAGGAGAATCAAGAAACCCTGATGCGGCCTGGCTGGTGTGGCTCAGTGGACTGAGTGTCGTCCCATGGACTGAGAGGTCCCGGTTGGATTCCTGGTCAGGGCACATGCCTGGGTTGTGGGTTTGAGCCCCAGGGGTGTGCGGGAGGCAACCAATGTATCTCACACCGGTGTTTCTCTCTCTCCTTCTCTCCCTTCCTTTCTCTAAAAAATAAAATTAAATAAATTAAGGGAAAAAAAAAAAAAGAAACCCTGATGGGGAGTTTGCACCCAGTCATAGACCTTTCTCTGTGGACCTTCTTGGGTGCCTAAGAGAATAAATGAACATCGGGGCAGGGGACTGGAAAAGCCTTGCTGGGTGGTAGAGGTGCCTTAGTGGTAGAGGTGCCTTAGTGGTAGAGGTGCCTTAGTGGTAGAGGTGCCTTAGTGGTAGAGGTGCCTTAGTGGTAGAGGTGCCTTAGTGGTAGAGGTCTGGAGGAGGACAGCAGCTGCCTCTGTGAGAGAAACACAAAGCCCTGCCTGACCCTCCTTCCCTGAAGTCACTGGGAACCCACAAGCCTTGTTGTCCTCAGATGAAGACTCATTTTGACCAGGGAAGAGGAAGGAAAAAACCCCTCTATTCCTGAGGGAAGACAGGAAGCCATCCGGGCCCAGGTCATTAAAGATATCCTATCCCGGGGGAAGTGAGGGGTGGGACCCTGAGAAAGCCCAGTCACCTTGGTGGGGCACAGGGCTTGCCTGAAGCAGAGGCTGGGCCAGGACAGCAGAGAACGCCCAGCCCCACGCACGCTCTGTGTCGAGCAGTAGCAGTCTACTGCTGGAGGAGGGAGCAAGAATGTGAATAGAGAAGGTCAAAAGCTAAGGGTGGAATGGGAACTAAGAAAAATATCATTTGGCCACCCATTCTCAACTTAAGTACAAGGTAATACTAGAGGAATTTTAAGCCAGTAATGCATGAAGGTAACCATAATAGCAATAAAACCTAAATAAGATAAACTCCTGACCGATTTGACTCAAGCCTGCACATTAAGGTTCTAGAAAAAGAAGAGGCATACCCGTATTTAGCCATAAATGCTATTTACCTCAGTTTCTACTACCCTACTCATGATAACCAGTATTTAGTTAAAAAATTATAGGACATAAAAAGCAGGAAAAATCACCCCCTTATCAAGAGACAAAGCATTCAAGAGAACCAGACAAAGATGATTCAGATGTTGGTACTGTCAAACAAGGAATTTAAAATGGCTATACTTGATATGTGAAAGAGTCTAATGGAGAAGGTAGATAGTGTGCTTCATCAGATGAGTAACTTCACAGAAAAATGGAAACTAAGAATAAGTAAAATAGAAATGCTAGAAATTAACAAACACAGTAACAGAGATGGAGAAAGACTTTGGGCTCATCAGTAAACTTGACACAGATGAAGAAAGAATTGATGAGTGTGAAGACAGGTAAACAGGAACCACCCAAACTGAAGCACAGAGAGAATAAAGAGACACACACACACACACACACACACACACACACACAGGCATCTCATAAGGAGAAGAGAGGGACCACTGAGACAGACAAAATATTTAAAGAGATTACTGCTAAGAAGTTAAACCAGGGAATTCACAAAGCTCAGAAAGCCCCAAGCAGGATTATAAAAACCTAGATATATCATATTAAAACCAATGGAAAAACAAAAATGAGAAAATCTTGAAGTCAGTGAGTGAAAAAAAAAAGCACATGAAATACAGACAACAAAAATAAAAATATGTCTCAAATACAGACCTGCTGTGTAAGGCATAAGACAATGGAGGAACATCTTTTAAGATGATGAAATTTTAAAAACTGTCAATCAGGAGTTCTATGTCAGTGAAAGTAACATTCAAAAAGGAAAATATTTTTCAGGCCAAAACAGAATTCATTAATAGTAGACTATACTACAGTATGCTACAGGAAGTTCTTCAGGAAGAAGGAATAGAATGATACCAGAGAGAAACTTTGATCTATACAAGTAAATGAATCTCTGAAAATAATTCAAATAAAGATAAATAGTATCTTATTTTTGATCATTCTAAAAGACAATTGTTTAAATACAAAGTAATAATACATTGTGGATTTATAGCATATATAAAAGTAAGATGTATGAAAACAACACAAAAGATTAGGGGGATGTATTGGAAGTACACTATTGTAACGTTCTTAACACTATACTGAAATAGTAGAATATCATTTGAAAAAAGATTGCGATTAATTAAAGCCAAACATTGTAAATTTAAAACAAGTACTAACATTTTTTGAAATGAGGTTAATAATAAATCGGTTGTAGAGATAAAATGGAATCAAATACTTCGTGCAAAGCAAGCAGAAACAGAGGCATGACAGGGACAAAGAACAGATAGAACAAATGGAAAACAGCAAGATGGCGGATTTTAATCCAAGCATTGATAATTACAATGAATGTAAATGTTCAAAACATACTAATTAAAACAGACTGTCAGAGTGGATAAAAAGGTAAGACCCACTTATATACTGTCTAAAAGAAATTCATTTTAAGTATAAAATCAAATAGGTTAAAAGTAAAAGATAGAAAAGATATACAATGTGAAGATTAATAAAAATAAAGGCTGAGTGGCTACAGTATTGGGAACAATAGACTTCAGAGTAAGGAACGCTGACTACCAAAGCTCACTCAAGAAGAAAGAGATAATCCGAATTGTCATAAATCACTTAAAGAAATGTAATTAGTAGTTAAGAATCAACAAAGTAAACTCCAGCCCCATATGCTATCAGGGCAAATTCCAGCCAATATTTAAGGAAGAAATAATGCCAGTTATGCACAGACTTTTCAAAACAATAGAAGAGGAGGAGCACTTACTAACTCATTTTTTGAAGCCAGAATTACCCTAATACTCAGATCCAACAAAGACAGTACAAGGAGACTACACACCAACATTCCTTATCAGCATGAATACAAAAATCCTTGACATTTATTATTTAATGGAATTATCTAGGGAATGCAAGGTTGGTTTAAAACTTGAAAATCAATCAATGTAAAAAGCATATTAAAC